GTGGCACGGCTGATCCTGCAGTGCCTGTAGCCCATCATGATACAGATCCAAAAGATCTTGACCTTGAGGACCTGATTGATCTCACAGATCTCATCATAGACGATCAACCACCGCCAGCGGGGCTTACCCGCCCCGCCACTTCACGGCCACGCCCAGCGAAACCGATCAAACCGTCTGCACTGCGCATGGTTTCTACGCCAGCTGATTTAGCGAAGGGTTCCAGACCATCCTCTCTGCGCAACGTCGCTACACCTTCCGATGTGCCAGAAAATGACACGAAGTCGACACCAGCACAAGAGGCTCCCAAGCGCAAACCAGTTCCCCCTACGCCACCCAGACGTGCAGTGCCAAAGACAGGCTCATTGATTGACCTGGATCCCTCGCCTTCAACCTCTGAGAGTAGCGCTGGGACATCAACGAATGAGCTTCCTTCTTCGGGACTCAAAAGCCTTGATGATACTTCTGTAGGTACCCAGAGTCAATCGCAACCTGCACGCGCCAAGCCACCACCGCCTCCTCCGCGTCGCACGAACACCGGGTCTTCAACAACCAGTTTAGATCCCGGCGCATCACCATCAAGTACATCAACCCCATCAACTGCATCAACTGCATCAATTGCATCAACAGCACCAACTACACCGGCTCGTCCTGCGGCTCCTGCGACTGGCATTCAATCATACCCAGCGGCAGCCGCCCAGGCTGCTTACCAAGGGTTCCAGTATGCAAGCGACCGACTCAACTTCTCAGGATCTGCAAAGTCTCCATCCAACCAATCAGGGAGACCAGGGTCGAATGGATCGGGTGTGCCGCCTGCGCCCCTGCCAAATAAGCGCGAGGAGCTTTGGCGACGTCGTTGGGCTCGCGCAAGCGAAGTGCTTGAACAGCACGACGTTGTGCTAGGCAGTTGGCGGGTCGGAAGCGATGCGCAGCCTGTTTGCGCGTGGTTAATGGAGCAGGCGATGAAAGATCTCAAGAATAATCGTTCGAAGGGGGATCATTGACGGCGTTTAAAGATACGATTTGTCAAGATGTGCCCATGAATACACTACTGTCGATTTGAGATAGATTTTAGAAACAAAGACCGAATGTCACCATAGCCTCTACATAGTACATAGAAATAAGTCTACTCTTTTTGAACCCCATATCCGAAATAATATAAATCTTATGCTGTATTCCCCCTTCTCTAGGGCTAGTTGAAGTGCCGATCACAGGTGGGTCGTAAAACGTTAAGACACTCTTGGCGATTATAATTTAACAGCCTGCTATTGGCCAAAACATCAATTATACGTTGTATGGTGGGCCAGTCCTGTTCCGAGGTCCTCGTTGGTCGGTGTTGGGGTTGCAGCCAAAGGTTCCACATTATATTTTCGGGCCTCGGCTCAAATTGAAACTGCAGTTGCATGATTGGCGACTCAAAATCTGGGGGGATTTACTACTGGTGCCCCCCATTCTTCTCCCCTTTCTCCAGATCCCCAGACTAAAACATGTCATCAGAAACCCTCACGCGCGCGGAAGTCGCGAAGCACAACACCGAGGATTCCCTCTGGTGTATCATCGACCACCAAGTCTATGATCTGACCGATTTTGTCGACGCCCACCCCGGTGGTGCTGTTGTACTTGCTCAGATTGCTGGCCAGGATGCAACATCCGATTTCTACAACCTGCATCGCCAGGAGGTGCTGGAGAAATACCGTGACCAGCTCTGCATTGGTGTCATCGAAGGCGAAAAGCCCGAGGTCATCGTGCCCGTCCCTGGAGGTTTGAGCCCAGTGCCCTACGCAGAACCCCTATGGCTGCGACCCCAGTTCAAGTCCCCCTACTACAAGGAGAGCCACCGACGCTTGCAAAAGGCCGTCCGGGAGTTCACAGATAAATATGTAACGCCAGAAGCGCAAGAGAAGGAGCGGGATGGCACCTACATCAGCCAGGAGCTCATCAACCGCATGGCCGAGACGAACCTTCTGGCTATGCGACTGGGCCCTGGAAAGCATCTGCATGGCCGCACCTTGCTCGGTGGAGTTGTGGATGGAAAGGAGTTTGATTATCTCCACGATATGATTGTAACACAGGAGTTGGTCCGTGCCAATGCCAGAGGCTTCCAGGATGGAAATATGGCCGGTATGGCTATTAGTTTGACAGCTGTCCAGCAATGGCTGCATGATCCTGTACTCAAGGAGCGCATCAATGGCGAGGTCTTGTCCGGCCAGAAAAAGATGTGTTTGGCTGTCACGGAGGCCTTTGCTGGTAGCGACGTGGCGGGTCTGAAGACGACCGCAGAGAAGACTCCTGATGGGAAACATTATATTGTCAACGGAACAAAGTCAGTCGGATCATTTGTTGGTTTAATTGGATCTTCGCTAACAATGTCTAGGAAATGGATCACAAACGGCATGTTCGCCGACTACTTTGTCACTGCCTGTCGTACCGAGAAGGGATTCTCCGTGCTCTTGATTCCTCGCGGCGAAGGTGTGGAGACAAAGCAAATCAAGACCTCATATTCGACTGCCGCTGGCACTGCTTTCGTGCAATATGAGAATGTCAAGGTTCCGGTCCAGAACCTCCTGGGTGAGGAGCACAAAGGTTTCCTCGTTATCATGAGCAACTTCAACCACGAGCGCTTCATGATGGTAGCTGCCGTGGTCCGCATGTCAATGGTGGTTGTCGAAGAAACAATGAAATGGTCCAATCAGCGCATCGTCTTTGGTAAGAAGTTGATTGACCAGCCAGTTATTCGTCAGAAGTGAGTTTCTTACAATCTACTCCCAATATCCCTCTTCTAACTCCCGACAGGCTCGCCCGCATGATCTCCCTAGCCGAATCTAACCAGGCATGGCTTGAATCCATCGCCTATCAAATGTGCAACATGACATACGCCGAACAAGCGAAGAATCTGGGTGGACCTATCGGACTGCTCAAGTCACACTGTACCCAAGCCGCAGGCGAGATTGCCAGTCTCGCTACAAACATCTTTGGTGGTCGTGGTATCACTCAGTCAGGAATGGGCAAGGTCATTGAGATGTTCCATCGCACATACAAGTTCGATGCCATCTTGGGTGGAACTGAGGAGATCTTGGCAGATTTGGGAGTGCGGCAGGCAATGAAGAATTTCCCGAAATCGATGTTATAGAGGGGGAGATTCGCTTAAATATCAATCAAATCATTACCTTCATGAGACAGTGGTTGTATGTTTCGTATGCAGCTCTCCGCTTGGCCAAAAATAGAACAGGCAAGCGGGGAAGATAGCTGGAGCGGGGGATGTTTGTTCCGACGCCACAGCTCTCCCAAGGCAGCTAGCCCCATGTGAGGTCACTTTGGGCATCCACGAGCCGCCCCATCTTCTGCATTATTCCAGGTTCTCTGCCATCTAGTATTGAACGTCTAAAATATACAATATCTATCAAAAATGGCTCCAGCCGATGCCCTTCGTCAGGACAATATCCTCGATCTTGCCGTGAGAGCTATCCAGCCCGCGGGGGATAGACAGCCGAGTCTCAAAACATCATATGAGGCCGTGGCTTTGATCGGCCATGCATGCATGGTAGCAGTTGATTTCAGATTGGTCGGTCTTGGTGAAGAGCACACTTTAGGTATGTCAAGTCTGTGTCCGATCGTATCGGTGACCTCTTATTGACTTCTCTAGAAACATCTACAGATACACCTTCCCTCCCCGCAGAATGGAACACTAACGATACATTTGCCTTTCGGTACGCACATGCGCAGTCTTCGATGCAGTATTTACTCAAAGTGAGTCGGCTGGGAAATAACGCAGTGATCTTCGCATTGGCATTGGGCGATGACCGGACCAGCTCGTTCGATATCCCCATCAAAGACTACATCTCCACCTCTGCGCTCCCTATATCCTCCTCAGACAATCTCACTGCGTCTCTGCGAGATGTTTTCATCTCTCCAGCTCGACTAGGTGACCTGGTCGGTTTATTCAAGATCAACGTGATCCAGAAACTCGCGCCCGGGTTGTACAAAGAGGGGTATGAAGATCCAAGCCAGTCATCCAGAGCAAGGCCACAGGAAGAAAGACAACCGGATATTCCTCAAGATGGCTCCCTGCCACAGCCTGCTCGTCCACGCCCATTTGATGATCCTTTAGCGGCAGCTCCTCGCCGCTCCAACCCACCAGACTTTGCTCCACCCGGGTTCGAAGATGAGCTTGAGATCAATAGGCCTCTACGAGGATATCCAGGAGGACTTGGAGGCAGAAGCCCGTACAACATTGGAGAACGAGATCTCTACCCACCAGGACTTGGTCCTAATGATCCTTTGCGCGGACCTATGGGCCCTGGCTTTGGTCCAGGTGGCGGGGGTATGCATCCTACCTTTGATGACCCTCTCTTCAACGGGGGAGGAGCTGGTAATGGTGGATATGACCCCCGTGTACCCCCAGGTGCAAGATATGATCCCGTAGGACCTGGTGAGCCACCTGCTGGTCGTAATCGAGGACCGTTTGGTAGTAATGGACGAGGCGGGGGTGGATTCGGTGGGTTTGGTGGGTTTGGTGGTGGATTTGGTGGTGATATTATCTAAAAAGTGACGAGTGAGTGATGACTTCAACAAAGAAGAAGATTCTTTGTTCCTAAATGGCATATATCCATCTCAACATTAACAAGAATAACAAGAAGCTACAGCCATGTCTCAATGGCCAACTCGACGCCTTTTCTCCGTAACTTCTGAGTGGATTGTGTGGGACATCTTCCTATACCTATTAGAATGTCTTCCGAAATGTCTAACACAAACCAACAAAGATATAAACCCCCTAGTCGTTCTGTACAATGGTGTAGTTGATAATTACGTAGGCTGGAGAAAGCGGTGTGTGGCTGAAGTGTGGCGCATCTGTTCACCACTCAACTTGACCTTCCCGAACTCTCGTCTCTTCTCCCTTTCTCGTGTTCCCAAGTCCCATCCCCTTATCCCTTGAATCAATCCTGGGAAGTTGTCTATTAATTGAATTTCCATCTGGAGCGTAATTATCCCACATCTTTTCCAGACCCCACGATACCTGCGCCTACCCACGAATCCCGTTGTTTTCTCACGAGACCGCCCCTCCCCAGCTGGCCCCTCCTTTTCAACCAGTTGAGCACACCGACGCAATGGATAACAACATGGAAATCGATACTGCGCGGTCCCCCGAGCCACACCACTTGTCGCCAACAAGCGACCCTGGGTCCATACCGACTTTGGACGGCTGGATCGAGAGTTTGATGACTTGCAAGCAATTAGCGGAAGAAGACGTGCGACGGCTGTGCGATCGGGTGGGTCCCTTGTTTTGACAGCGTGGTAATGATGAATTCAAGTTGATCATATATGTGTCGTTCAGGCAAGAGAGGTATTGCAGGAGGAATCCAATGTGCAGCCAGTGGTATGTTGTTTCTCGGTCGGGTTGTTGTCCTGATCGCCCAGCCCACTGACATATATCCGAATAGAAATGCCCAGTGACAGTCTGCGGTGACATACACGGACAGTTCCATGACTTAATGGAGCTTTTCCGCATTGGCGGTCCTAATCCGGATACAAACTACCTCTTCATGGGTGAGTGGATAACGGTCGGGTCAACGCGTTGTGGGGTAATGTTTTTTAATGTTTCTTGATATAGGTGACTACGTCGACCGTGGTTACTACTCAGTTGAGACAGTGACCCTCCTGGTCTCCCTGAAGATCCGTTACCCGCAGCGTATTACGATCCTTCGTGGAAACCACGAGTCCCGACAGATCACACAGGTCTACGGATTCTATGACGAATGTCTCCGCAAATACGGCAATGCCAACGTGTGGAAATACTTCACCGACCTTTTCGACTACCTCCCCCTTACTGCTCTCATCGAAAACCAGATTTTCTGTCTTCACGGTGGACTGAGTCCATCCATTGACACTCTCGACAACATCCGGTCGCTTGATCGCATCCAAGAAGTTCCCCACGAGGGTCCCATGTGTGACTTGCTCTGGAGTGATCCTGATGACCGATGCGGATGGGGAATCTCTCCCCGTGGTGCTGGATACACATTCGGACAGGACATTTCCGAGGCATTCAACCACAACAATGGCTTGACTCTTGTGGCACGTGCCCATCAATTGGTGATGGAGGGATATAACTGGTCACAGGATCGGAACGTCGTCACTATTTTCTCAGGTATATTCTTATTCGCAAGACTTGATGGATCAAAAACACTAACCAGACCACAGCACCAAATTACTGTTATCGCTGCGGCAACCAGGCCGCCATTATGGAGATTGACGAGCATTTGAAATACACATTGTGCGCACTCCTGCAATTTCTCATCTGGATATCCCACTGACATTATCTAGCCTACAATTCGACCCCTGCCCCCGAGCGGGAGAACCTATGGTATCGAGGCGCACACCTGACTATTTCCTTTGATAGACTTCATCTTTGTCCTGCGAGAGGCAATTGGACTGGCGGAGAATGGAGGTTGCAATCGAACATGGCTCTCGCCTATTTAATTCTGTATGGTTTGATGCCTGGCCACTTGTTGATACCAATCATGAAAATAAAAGACCATTTGTAAGACCCAGGCCCATAAGACTATAGAAATAACCTTGGGGGGATATCCATATTATTGAATGCCTTTCTATGCCCAGGTGGTAACAGACTAGGAGCTCAGATATGCATAGAAGACTGGAATTCAATATTCCTCTCTGGATGGCAGTAGATGGCTTACAAGTGTTAGAAGCTGCATGGAGATTACGTTTTATCTGTGCCAGTGCAAGGCTTGTCATCATTGTTTGGTAACTGCTTGGGGCCCAGCTTCTTCTGCCATGAACAGAAAGTGGCATCCGAAAACATCGAGTATCAGAAACGCATTGAAACCATGGCGACCTCCAAACGGCCGTCTGTAGACCTTCTTGGATAAGGTAACAAGGCACTAGTCGAATGGGATAACGAGGGACAGTTCAAAGTTCTGACGATCTAAGGCCGATAGCTGGAGACGAATGTGTGCATCTTCCGCGCCTCGAATGAGTGCCATGTCGACATCGAAAGCTGCTCTTCCAGCTCACGAACACATGACAGTATGCATCATGGTCACCAACCATGCTTCTAGTCCTCCTGATGATCAAACATTAATCAGATCATACATGTAAACAATAGGTTATTCTATTTGTTCGGTGTCACAGTCTATCTAATTCATAGACTGGGTGACGTCGGCTACGGAGATTTACACCCCTCATGTATTCCGTGGGACTCGTCAAGTGGCAATGAGAGCCACGACTTCAGGAACGTCCACGAGAAAGCCCGGTTTGATGTTTGATGCAGACCTACATGGACCTCATGCATATGGTAATGTCATGGTCCCTGTGGTAGATGAAGCAGCATGTGCTACGGCACCCTCTGCCGACGCTGTCTCGTGGGGGCTACGGTGAGATGGTGGTCAGAGAGATGTGGAGGAGAGAAGAAGAAGAGAAGAAGAGAAATGGGGGGAGGAGGGGCCCTTTTATACCCCAAACCCACATGCCTTCCTAAAGTGCGACACCCTCCATCGCACCTTTCTTAATCACAAATGTCACATGTCAGACCCTGATATGCTGCTACCTACTCTGAGTCTCGATATCCTGTTTATCGTGAAGTGTAAGAGCAGTCCCCTCTTGTGCGACTTGCGCGTTCTTCTCACCACGTCTGTAGTGACGCACTTCCGAGCTCCCATTTGGAACCCAGAATCGCCGGTCAACACGGACGACGAAGAAGATAACCACAACCAGAATATCAATAGTGAAGTTGAAGATATAGAAGCAGGCCCTGCTGTGATACCAGGCTGGGTCCGTGACAGGGCGAGGTGGCATCCAAGAGGTACCGGCGCGAAATGATGCTCCAAGACAGAGCAATGAGCCGGCGAGTGCGACGATGAAGACTTTGGCGATCCAGCTACCATAGCCAACCTGTTCAATATGCTTCCTATTCGGAGACAGAAGGATAAACACGACAAGCGGAAGCGGTAGGAACGAGATGATGGCGAAGTATGTCTGGCCATAGAGCTGGATATCGCGATCGATGCGAAGGGTGTTCGAGTTGAGAGTATACGAACTCTGAATAACACAAGTGATGACCATGATGATCGTCACTACGACGAGAGCATACAGTACTTTGAACGCCCAAGATACTGGTCGAGACCATCCGAGGACTGGGTAGACGGCTCGGAACATACGCTGTGCGTATAGCAAGTTCAAGATGAATAGCAGCAACACGCCGGCTGCAACGAAGATCTGTGCTCCAATCGCAAGTCTAATGTTCGTCGGGTGACAGGCCCAGGCGATGCGAAGGATGTTTGCGATAATACGCGACATGCAGAAACCGAATGTTGCGCCCGATGGAATGAATTTGTGGTCTCTTGCAAGGTTGCGACGGAACAGGGTCATATGGCAGGCGGCGCCGATGATGAAAAGAGCGAGGAAGACGGCGCATATTGGGACATCGAGGGGAATTGTTGGTCGACCTCCCATGGAGGCCGTCCTAGGCATATAGGGTCCTCCCATTTTCTAGGGGTTTGGTACAGTTGGTTGTAGGGCAAAGGGTTGCAGCACGAACTTTATGCTTAGATATATCCCCTTGCTTCGATGGAAAATGTAAAGAATGGAACAATCGAAGGGATGAATGTAGTCAATACAACACACGATGTACAGATGCTCGCCGAGTCTTATATCCTGGCTCAGTCGCTAGTACCTCTAATTTCCATGTCAACAAAATGCTAGGACTTCGCAGATCGAACTCTATTTGACACGACAAACCTATGATTCCCTCGTCTCCAGACAAATTTGACACCAGACATAAATTGAATCAGTCGGTGTCGGGGTCCCTCGCTCCCCGAACTCACCTGGACGGACGCCGAAACGCCGACCACCGATCACATTGAAGGGGTTCGAACCTTCTGAAGAATACAAACAAATAGTCAAAGCTCTCGAAGACAATACCCATTATCGGGCTCTTAGACGGCTCTGGTTATAGTGTGTATGTTTTCTTGTTGTACGTGGAAGTCACTATGCTCAGGTGAACCCTGGAAACAGAGCCGCTTGATCCCGTACCTAACAACCTTATATAGATGTGGAAGTATATCACCGCTATGGTAATCACCTCTTGATTTAGTGGGAACATTGTAAACACCAATAAGGGAGATTACGCTAGAGTATGTAGGAATCTACGTAACTTTGGGAGATAATTGCATACAAATGCTCAACGTGAAGTCGCAGCCAGTTGGGAGATGGAAGTTTAATCAACTTACAAGAAGCATCGTCATAGTACAGGTACTTTAATCTGTACTTCTTACCTATACATATGTCATATGGTACCTGAGATATTGCATAAATTCATGTGAGAGGCCTACAGTTCTTCGTCCTTTGCTGTACGTGAGTTGAAAATAGTGAAGTCTAGTGCAATCATAATATATATTTCTAGATGCATGTTGAGTACAGTTTATAGTTGTTGTGCAACCCTCCACTACATAAGGATCTTCCCTCGGATATGCCGTGCTCGTTCAATTCTAAACTACCTGTCTGTCCAGTTACTCAAGAGATATGTTTAACTGGGGAAGGTCTATGATGGTGATAGACGGATAACGACTGCCGGAGTCTTCTATTAAGTATATATACAAGGTAAATCTCTTTGTTTGGCTGTGCCAAGTTATGGGACAGGGGCGCTGTCCATCAATTGGCCTTCAGTGTCTGACTCGAGCGGCTTTTTCAAGATCCAGCCACCCACAAACAACAGAATTGGGAGAGATGATACGCCCACTATCAACCCCAATGCCCAACCCATCGCACCCCAGCCAGCTTCCTGGCGAATATAACCCGCAAAGAATGGGCCGATCAGACTCCCGGTCGCGAACCCCATATTCGACAACCCAAAAGCCAGAGCCATAGCGCCACCGCGACCGAAGATATCAGGAGTTTTATCTTCCTTCTCCTTCACAGCGAAGAACACCTCCACAATGAGAGGTGGCATAGCCACCGCAAAGCATACCCCAACACAGGCGAGGAGGGCACACAATAGAATCTTGTGCTGCATCGAGTTGTCCTTGACAAAACGCAGAAGCACCAGAACGGGAACGACAGTAAGAAATGCGCCTGCGGCGAGATAGCGACATGATTTGGGGTACTTGTCAATGACAAACCCCATCAGTGGGTCTAAGACGTGCGGCACCATGAGCGAGATGAAGATTAGTCCCTGGCCACTTTGCTGCCACTTGAATGTCTCCTGCACGAAAAGTGGAAGGACACTGTCAAATGAGGTCAGGACGATTGACAAGATAAAGTATCCCCAGACGGATACGACGAGACGGGGTGAGCTCAACAAAATAGCGACACGTCCGAACGCGCTCCGTGAGGGGGGAGAAGGCGGTTGTGATTCACGGGATTCAGAGCCATTGGTTGGCAAGACGGGATGTTCTAAAACTTCCCCTGACTTGTTCTCCGTCACGGACAGCGGTGTCATCTCCGGCGCAAGCCATTTAATAGCATCTCTTTTCTCGATCAACAGCAATCGTAAGATGATATCGAGGGCGATGAAACCGAAAGCAAGACCGAAAACGGCATAATAACCACCATTCTCGTAGACAACACCGCCGAGAAGAGGTCCAGCTAGCGTTCCGATACTGATAGCCATGGAGACATAGCCAATGGCTTGGCCAAGGTCGTCTTTTCCGATGGTGTCTACTATCAGTGCTAGGCCGGCTGTCCATACCACCGCAGCGGCAGCACCTTGAAACAAGCGACCAACAATCCACAACGCAATATTGGTACCGACACACAGTAGGGCTGTTGCAGCGGCCAACGCAACGAGACCAAACAGCAAAGGCCATCGACGGGACTCGGCTCGATCAGCGATGTACCCGACAACAGGGGCAAAGGCCAATAAAGCAGCCGAGTACAGGGCGAGAAGAATAGATGTCCAGCTTTGGACATCATCCTCTGAGATTCCCACTCTGTATTTCAATGCAGTTGGCGTGACCGGTACGATAAGACCGTACATGAAGATGTCCGTCCCGGTAGCAAAGGCCACGACGAACATAATAAACCATTTTGACGACCTTAGCTCGACGAACTTGGGTCGCTTTTCCTCCTTCTCATGTGAGAGGGGCCACGTCAAGAACCCCATGACAAGTATATGTGTAATCGAGAGTAGGAATCACAATGCGGGTACCGACCTCGCAGGTGAAAAAGGACTAGCCCTTGGCCGAAATTAAGGTAAGGGAAGAGTGTGAGAAGATATGTGGAATGTGCAATGAGCTTGATTTAATGTGATCAACTCCATCTGACAGAATAACAAGTTAAAACAAGGGTCTGAGTCTCAAAAGTCGAAGTCCGTAAATGACCTCCGATCGGAACCCGCGGGCCCCGAGACTGGAAATCTCCCGAGGTTTGACATTTTAGCGTTTTGGATATTTTGGACATTCAATTTGCTTGGAATTGGATTTTAATTCTGATAGATGTACCT